AAAACCCTAGTCGAGGAACTATGCTCGATGCTTTTAACACAAAATCCTACCTTACAAGGAAACAAAAAGGAAAAAGCATATATTTTGATATTTTGGTTATAGTTAGTGAAATATAAATCATATAAACACAGAGGAAAAAGATACCAAGAAAGGTGGTTGGTGATCTCTACAAAGACAAACCCAAGGACGAAAGTGCTAAAGGAGAACTAAGTTTGTGTTCTTGATACATTGCAAAGATGCAACTGAGGTGGGATCTTAGTGTTAAAAATTAGGGTATGACAATTTGAGAGTAACTGAGAGGGAGCAATATTGAGTCCTTTAAGGAGGTCAGACTAAAATTCAATAAAGAGGATATAGATTTTAAAATCCTCGATTAGTCCTGAGTAAAAGTAAAAATACTCATCTGACACTCCCTTTGGCTGAGTAATGCAAACTCTCTCGCCAACCAAACAAGGTTCTAGCACAATGTCTTCCTTATTCCCAGTAGAGGAACTCTGACTATAAGAGCAAATTTTTGAGACGTAGCTGTCGTTGATGACGCTGTGGTCGTAACTTAAAACCTTTTTGTCAATCAAAGACCCTATTGTCTCCATTAGAATATCCATGGAACCTGATGACAAAGTTTCTGAGTAGGTTTTACTACTAGGTTAAGAGATCTCACAATAAACTTCTCTAATAATCTGATCAAATTGTCGCACCTCGAAATATATAATCGAGAAAATATGAATCTCACACTAAAGGCGCAAAATGCGGTTTGATAGAGTCGCCATCGAACTTTATTTATCCCAAAAAGAGGGAAAGAAAAATATCGAGAAAACCATTAAAAGAACGATAAGAACATGGTCGTCGCAACCACGTTCTAGGTTCGGGAGTCGGTTACGCAAGTGGAATGTATTAGCACCCATCACGTTCGTTGTACTCAACGGGAACCTCTTAATTTTGAATTGTGATAAACGTTAGCTAAGCTTATTTATTTTCTTCTCAACGATAAATGTGAAACGATAAGATAAAGAATTAACGATGCTAGGGGTAAAGGGTGGTTTAAGAATAGGGTGCTCGCCAAGGATTGGGGCCCTTGTGCCTATGTATGCTCATTCCGATGAGAATGAGAAATCAAAGCTCTCGTAGTTCGACTACGGGAAGGATAGAGGGGGAAAATGGAAGATGGATATAATTATGACGTAAACGGGGGAAAAAGAAAAAGGTAGCTCGCCAAGATCATCGCAATCTTGTGCCTACGTATCTTTATTCAGACGAGAATAAAGAATCAGAGCGTCCGTAGTTCATGGTGACCACGAGAAGAGAGGGGGAGTAACATGTTGAAGTTTGGTTTGGATGACTATTACTCGAAGCTTAAGATATGCTCGTCGGGCCCAAGTAATCGGAAGAGTGAGTCAAAGGCGTGACTCTATCTCTTTTTCATCTTAAAAGAAGTAGTGCTTGAAAAGTGTTTGAATGATGAGTGGTTGGAAGATAATGTTATCGAGTTGAATTGTATTCTCCAATTTGCATTGCTTCTGAACAGAGTTCAGACTCTAAACAACAGTTCAGATTCTAATGATATGGGTGTAGTGGAATAATAATTAGAAGCAAGTAATGACAAATGAACACACAAAATTTATCATGGTTCCTCTCAAATCGAGATTAGTCCATTCCACTTACATCGCAAGAGATTTTCCACTATAATTAAAACTGATTACAATTTCTTATGCCCTCAAGCATACGACTTTCCTTTGCTTAGACCTACAACCTAAGACTTGCTTGCTCAATCAGCACCTGATCGAGACTTCCTGCTTAGATCCTCAGATCCTAAGACTTCCTTTCTTAAATCCCACGAATTCAATACTTCCTTGCTTATACCCTAAAATACAAGACTTACTTAGACTCACAATCTAAGAATTCCTTGCTTAAATCCCATGGATTTAAGAATTCCTTGCTTATACCCTGAAGTACAATACTTCCTGCTAAGATCCCTCAGATCAAAGACTTGATTCTTAAACTTAACAGTTTAAGACTTTCCTACTTAATCAAAAATGTGATAAATGCTTCATGGCTCAAGCACACAACAAATGACTTTGATGCTCAAGCACACAACAAGAGACTTTCTTTCTAAACTACTAAACAACATGTTTAGCATAATAGATAACAAGGAGTACCTGATATACAATCCGAGGTACAGGGCAATATCTTTAACAAAGATCATAACACTTATGATTTCTAAGATATACATTTTAATAAATCTTAAGGCTTTGTGAAATTTACAACAAATGACAGAAACTTTGCATACTCGACGTTGTTTGTTATCGTTGATCTTGTTATTCTTCCATTTTAATATAAGCGTTAAACACTTCTTTTTCTGCTTTGTCCTTTTGTTCTTTTTCTTTATACCTTGTTGATTCTTCAGATTGAATCTTCAGCTACTTAAATAGTAGATGCAAAAGAGTAGCCGTTGAAAGAGATAACTTGCACAAGTGTCTTTGTCTATCCATAATACTAAGATGCGTTAAAGATAGATACACAAAAAGATTTGCATCCATTATGTAACCCGTTTAACCGTAGCGTCTTTCTGATGAGTTGTACTATAGATCCGTTGAGAGTGGATATCTATAAAGCATGTCAACTATCCTTGAGCCATGTGAATACAGACTCTAGTGACAAACTGATTTGACAGTGTAGCTTGCTTTATGCATTACAAATCACTTAACTTTGTTTATAGTTTTGAATGATCATCAGAAGATGATACATTCAATAAATGTAGAGATAACATATTTCTCTTCTGATGCTGATACATTCAGCTTCTGAGTCTACGCAATCATATATTATCATACTTCACTTAAAAATGTCCTTCAGTTTTTAACCATCAGAAGTCAAGAACTCAGCTTCTCTCAAATGTGTTCTTCTAACAAATTCTGAATAGATTCTCTTTAAGCTTTGAAATCTGCATACATAGAACACACATTAGATAACACCATTGTCATTTTAATACTTTATTATCATAAAAACCTAAAGGATATATGCCATGGACAAATCTTGTTCTAACATTTTCATCTTCAAGCGCCATAATCCAAAATCATTCAGTCCGATGAATTTCTCAATCTCATGCTTTGTTGAAGACATCTTCTCCTCCACGTTCACCGCACCAGTTTGTTGTGAAAATAATGCTACAAAAATAGAGTATAATCGGTTTATTTATCAGCAAAAAAATCACGAAGTGAGAAAGAGAGAAGAAAGAAAAGAAATATTATTCAAAATGGTATAAAATACTAGATTCTTGATTCAATTACACATTAAGGAAAAATGTTTACAATTGAATCTCAAACTCATCACTTTCTTCCCTAATCTGAGTTATTGAGAAGTGAATACTAGTATGCTATTTGGTAAGTATAACAAGTGTGAGTAGCGTGGATAATATTCCCACATTGGATAGGAATGTTGTGACTTGAGAATTTATAAGTGGGAGAACTCACACACATATCACCTTAAGGTTTTGGGTAAGTATTGGTGTATCTCTGGCGTTGCTCTAAAGAAAGTAAGTTCCATAATGTTCAATGCTCCTTAGTGAAAATCTCCCCCTAATAGTGGTATCAGAGCCTTTGGTTCGAATGAAGGACCGACTCACTTGTATCGAAAGTAATCCCCACAGGTGGTGGTTAGGAAGTGTCCCATTGAAGAGTGTCAACGGCAGTACGAGGGTGGTGAGTAAGAAACACGCATAACAGAAAATGCAGTTGTACAGTTGAAGCTTCCCCTTAAGGGGGAGCCTTATGGAAGCATTGTGGATAGACTCACACTTGAGGGGGAGTGTTAAGTATAACAAGTATGAGTTGTGGATAATAGTCTCACATTAGATAAGAATGTGGTGACTTGAGCATTTATAAGTGAGAAAATCCACACACCTATCACCTAAAAGTAAATTCCACAATGTTTAATGTTACCTAGAAAAAACTCCCCCTAACACTATTTATAAGAAAACTAAAAATCATAGCTTTCAACTAAAACTAAACAAATGTGCTAAAAGACTAGCCCATTTTGACATGCTAACAACCTAATATATTTCGACAGCTAAAGTATCTCTTCGACTTCAACAAAGTTTAATCCAACACTAATTTATAACTCATAAACTTTAGTGAAAAATATGAAAGTTTTTTAATTTTAACTATTTATATTGTAGCATAATAGTCAACTCAAATACATTGTTGAAATATAGGGATAATTGTTGAAGCATATGGATAATGTTTCCACAACCACTCTTGCATCCGCCCAAAACATGTAGAGCTAGGTGAACCGTTGATTTTTGTTTATCAAGCAAAATGTAAAACGACCTCCATTTTTTATCCTTAATTCACCATTTTTCTGGTAGAATAAGCTCTAACGAGAAATATGAATGTTCACTTAACCATAGCGTTTTTTCACGATTTCAAAACTCACCTCCGGTGATAACAACGATCTATAAAGTATTTTATGTGTATATTATTTCACTGTTTCTAATAATAATTTTTTGTAAGAATGATTGATTGTTAAAAGAATGGTTTCTAAAATCAGAATACTTCAATAAACAATTTCTTGTTTGCTTCTGCTTTTTTTATTTTCCAGTACTCTATAAAGCATATCCTAACAAATTCATATTTTTTTAAGATTTAGTGGATCCATTTTAATCATTTATGCAAATGATATCTTATAATATTCTCCAATTGGATTAAGATGAAGCTATACACAATGTAAATTCTCATCATATTTAAATCATTAGTAGTAGTTCATAAATAGTATTGTATGTAAAGTATAAAAGCCCATGAATTGCACCACTGAAATACTTTTCTTTTAAAAAGCAACAATTAATTTCATTAGTACTTGACTGAATAATGATTATCAAATATATGTAGATAAACACTCTATCCTCATTCGGTAAAAAAGCGCAACTTCATCCGGTTGAGTTTTTTTTAGTAATAAAGGACTTGTCATCTTCCTCTTCCCTACTTCAAGATTCTCTTGTATATAAACAGTCACTGAACATTGACAACATTCTCTTTAGTAATGGCTGAACTCTGGCAGGTTTGGACGATTCTGTCATGGGAAACAACAGGTGTGGAAATAACGACAAGCTCATCGTTTTCAGGCATACTTGTGATTTCTAATACCTTCATTTTATTTTTCATTTCTTTGCTTTGACCCCAAAGTACCGCATAAAGACCGAACACAATCACAATTGCTCCAAGCATGCTATAAAAATATTTCTAACAAGTTAATTGTGAATTTATTGATGGCTGAAAAACATGAATTGGTATATGTTTAGGTGAACCAAGATTTAAAATATACCTTCCCAAGTATAATTTCTCATCCAACATGAAATAAGCAGCTATAACTACAAGTAAAAGCTGTAAAGGACTGAAAATAGACGCAAATACAGGGCCTCTCATCTTTATGCACCAGGCCATAGCGATCACAACTAATCCAGAGGCCACAATTCCCTGCAACAATATTTATGACAAATAATTGATTATAGCAAGATGAATATGATTTTGTTATTTTCAGTTAAGGGCGTGTTTTCGGATATTTAGTAAATTTCTAGGAGCATACCGGATAAATAACGGCAAGAATCCTAAGGTTATTTGGTAGCTTCCATTGTTCCCAATCCCTTTCAACACAAAGAGCAATAACAGTTGCTTGAATAGCTCCCATTATGGCCATTAAAGCCGCACTTGAGCGATGACTCGAGTATTCCTTATTCAACTTAGCCTGTTCCCATGAAAAACAGAAGGATGACAACATTTTAAACAACCAAGTCTATGGTTTGAGCTTACCATAATCACGATTACAGAGTTTTGTTTTACATGATTCAGAGTGTAGTTTTTTTAAAATCACAGTCGTTCATCGTGAATCGGTCAAACTCATCGTGATGATAAAGAGCAACTGATGAAAAAAAAACTAACCTGAATAATATACCACAATGAGAAAGAGCAACTGCTTGCTAGTGCACATGAAATACCCAACAATTTCGTACCAAAGTTAGCATGGTGAGTTGCCATTTGCTCATTTGAGATGTGATGTGGATGAAAAAGGTTGATATTGGAGGACCAAATGTGAATTTCAGCACCTTTGAAAAAAATCATCAACATTGCACCACTCATTCCCATTATTGTTCCTATCACTTTCGCCTTTCCTTCTGCTACCCTTAAATTAAATTTATCCATTCTATGGAAAAACAAAAGTTAATAAATTGAAATTATTTTAAAATAAAAATATGTTGGAGCTACGTTTATATATTCATACCCGAAGCATACAGCCATGATGAAGGTAATGGCTGGAATTAGGTTGAAGACCACCAACATAAACGTTGCTGATGTTAAAGCAAGAGCCTCGAGGTAAAGGTTTAGATACAAACTTCCCCTGAAATATTACATATCAATATATTATTATTGTTTTCTTGTAAAGTTAAATGATTGAAGAAATTCTACTTGTATAATATGTCACTTACCCAAACAATCCACATAAAAATGTCTTAGAAAGCACACTCCAAGTAATTTTTGCTCTCTTCTTCCTGTAAATAATGCTAAACAGTGTCTATTAACATGAAGTGCCATAATAAACTTATTCATGAAATATCATATCAGACCACACATGGGGTAAACATATTGACTCTGAAGAAATCTCTCTCAAAGAAATTTATCTAAATATAAATTACTTTACTTTTAACTAACTTTTACACAAAATGAATTTTACAGAGAGTAACTTATAAAAATATGGGGAGGAGAGAAGGCATGGTTGTGTGCTAGGGCGAGTGCGGTTTTCAACATTACAAACTCTACCTCCATGTATTTCCCACCCCCTAACTTTGTTTAAGATGATTGTGATCGCCCACTCCCAATGGAGGATAGTGCCTTGTCTCATTCCCTAAAAATTGTAATTTTTATTATCAATACAATGTTTTTATGTGTTTTTTAAATTTTAATATTTCATAGCATCAAAAATAAATAATTAAATTAAATTGCAATATTTAAAATAAATTAATAATATAACTAATAATAGCAACAATCAAATTATATCTTACTATCTTGGATCACTTAAATGAATCAACATATGTCATAATGTTCTATTCAAAAATATGTCATAATGTTCTATTCAAAAACAAGTTTATATTCAAATCATTAATCTCATAATGTTCTACACTTTTCTTACACAAAACTCTTCCATCTACATGTCTAAACCACTCAAATATATTTATATTATATTTTTTATAATAATTGTTATTCCAACACTCTAATATTATCATTTTTAATCTTATTTTATTTAGTTTTACCATATATTCATATTTAATGCGGAGGTGAATATAATCAGCTCCTCGCCCATGTTTTTAAAATTCGAGTTTTATCTCAACTCCACCCAACTAATTAAATTGAATTTTGTTGTCATGTATATAGGATATGTAGATTTCTCTATTATAGGGATATGGTGTAGTAATACTATAGTACATCCTATGCAAAATATTATCTTGCTGTAACTAACTCTAACTGTTTTTGAATTAGTTAGTATTTGCCAGCTTAGCTTTAGTGAATCATATTGTATATAATTGTAACTCATCTTTATCATTGGTTAATAAAAAGATAAGATAATCTTCTTTGTCTTTTCACTGCTGCTTTGGCTATTCTGTTCTGCATTTTCAGCTTCACTTTTGTGAAGCTTCCATAGCAGCACCACCATCCACACAAAGTGTAAGATGAAGAAAGTGAAACTCTGAGATAATATCAGACTCTAAGATAATATTAGAGTCTGATCTCTAACAATGAAGAGAGTGAAACTCTAAGATGGTCTCTAAAAATGAGCTATATAATTTCACCAATATATTTAAGAAGTGAAATTATTACTACGAGACGATTTGAATATATATATATATATATATATATATATATATATATATATATATATATATATATATATATATATATATATATATATATATATATATATATATATATATATATATATATATATATATAATTGCAAGTAAAAAACGGTGCTTGTAACCTATCAGAGAAAAGAGCAATTGGAATAGTGAAAGCGGATGCACAAATGAGACGATAAGCTGCGGCAACTCTCAAACTCATTCCATCATTTATTGCAAGTTTGTATAATATAGTCAACACAGCAAATGCAATCTGTACTAACACCATTACCACATCTGGTTTCACCCTCTGCCATATACTACTCATCTCCATCATCTTGTGTTATAGCTGCAAGATGTGTTTTGAGGAGATGGTGGTGGTGTCGAAAATGTTGGTGAGAAACAATGCATTTATATGGTGATTAGAAACTATGTTCTTTTTCCAATAATGGTTGATGTGGTCCCATCGATGTTTATAATAAAATTAATAATATACTCTTAAAAGAGACACTTATAGAAATGTTTCATCATCACGTTTGCATTATAGTTATCTCATTCGAATATATTATTAGAGCTGAGCAATGATAATCCTACACCCAAATGCCAACACTACACCGTAATTGTATATCTATAACAAACTAATTCTATTTTTTAATAGTTTATTTTAGTATGAGTTTCTGTGCAAGGCCCATTTATCTTCTTGTAGCATACTGTGTATGTGAAAATGGTGTAGAAATAGGACAGCTCCATAATTATTGTTAAAGGACTCGTCACTTTTGACAGAAATATGTTGTGGCTGGAAGGTGCGTTCCGCAATCGTCCACATTTATTATAACAAAACTTTTTTTTTTACATATAAAAATAACTTTATGCATCATTGAATCAATTTTGCTTTTTATTTTTTGAAATGTGTGTCAATTATTAAAAATTACTTTAATAGTTAATATAACATGGATTTTTATTATAATTATGTAAGAATATTAAATTGTAAAGGTGTGAATTTGAACTTATGATATTTTACTTATTAAACTTTAAAAAGTGAAGTTTCAATTACAAGACTACTTGGTAAAAATAAAGTCGATATAGAAAGTTTTTATGATTGATGTATAATTTAGTTCATTTTCAGAGACAAATTAATAAGTTTTTCACACAAAATATATCTTTATCAAAATATTATCGGATATTAATATCCTAAGCATAAACATCAAAATAAACAAATATATATATATATATATATATATATATATATATATATATATATATATATATATATATATATATATATATATATATATATATATATATATATATATATATATATATATATATATATATATATATATATATATATATATATATATATATATATATATATATATATATATATATATATATATATATATATATATATATATATATATATAAACTAGCCACTCAAACTTTCGAATTGCTTATAAAAAAAATTTAAAATCAAGATAATAAATTCAATTAGTTGTTAGAGACAGATATACCCACAGAGACGTTCGAGTATCTTCAGAGGAGCTTGATCCGTTGGTTAGATGAAGAAATTGTAGACGATCAAAATATCAGAAGAATTCAAAGGCTTGTCATGGTCTACAACGAAAATGGAGAAAGTCGTTTTTAGGACTCAGTTAAAATTGACATAAATTATCGTATTATGATACATAGTAGTCAGGAAATTGTCCTGATGGTTGCAATCGCATAGATATATTGTTTAGTCGTTGTATTTGTTTGTGTTGTTGTTTAGTATTTGTTTAAATTATTATTTAGTTTTTGTTTAAATTGTTGTAACTGAATGTTGTGATATTTACGAAATGAACGTTGTTTTCAATATAAAATAAAATGGTTACATATAAAATTATCTTGCGGTGCTTGGTCCAACAATAACATAGTTTGTACGATTGTATTCGGGCTGACGACATGAACCAAAATCTCACCATTTTGTTCATCATATTCTTTCGGTTCGAATATGCGTGTTGTTAGGACAACAATCCTCCTTTGCTACCACCGAAAATCTATGGTTATACACGTAGCATAGATTTATGACTTTGTAAACGGCGGATAGTAGGTTGGAAGGATCCTGTCGAGCCTCTGAACGTGCCACTATGACATGGAAGCAAGGAATACGGAAAGCTTGGAACTATCCACAATCGCACCAACCTCTATCTAGTTCTACTCAGTAGTATCCTCTTGGCCTCCCCTTAATGTGGTCCATCGTCTCATCAACACTGAACCAACCTTTGTTCTTGTCAAACATTATGACCACATGTGTGTTAGCTTTGGCAGCTTTCTCCTTAATGAATTTTCATTGATTCCATGATATTTGATGTCATGTGCCTCCATCGTTGGCCATTGTCAAATGTTCTGGTCTACTTCTCCAATGGAATATTGTCGATCCACCTTATTGCATCTGCATTTGTCAATATGATCTCTTCGCATTTTGAAGGAAGATTATGTTAATACATACCCTGCGTTCACAACCTTCTTCTGTAGCATCTTGTCTTTGATCTCCCGCATGAAACTTTGAGTCATGTGTCTAATGCAATAGACACGCGTAGAAGGAAGATCCTGTGAGCCGTTATTAAGGTTTTTATAAGCACTCTCAATTGATGGATGTCTATCTGAAATCAAGCATAAGTTAGGATGAGGAGCAACGTTTAATCGAAGATTTTTAAGAAAAAAACTTCATCCACCAACAATCTCCCTTTCAACTAGAGCAAAGGCGATTGAAAAATGTTGTTGTTGTGATCTTGTGTCACTTCCATGAGTAATGTTCCTTTATATTTACCATACCACCATGTTCCATCTATTTGTATAATAGGTTTACACAAATAAAAACCTTTCATGCATGGTTCATACGCCCAGAAGAGTCGGTGGAATATGTCATTGCCACTAACTCAAGTCTTATCTAGGGTATATGTCGGCAATGTCTCCAAAATGGCAATAATCCCTAGATAATAATGCTTAAATGCCACCATGTATTGTGAAATTTATTTGTACGAATCCTCCCAATTTCGGAATACTCGTTCACCCGCCTTAGTCCTAACTATACATGCCTTCCCATACGAGGGAGTATAATTGTATCGTGTAATGATATGCGATATTATTGTTCGATCGACGGTATAATCATCTGAGATTTCCATGTGATACTTTTTAATAGATCTCACACAGTATTCTTTAGTGCAAAATCAGTCTCCCACTTTTAAAGATCCTTTTGTTTGCATATACGAATTGTAAAATATATCTGAAGATGGTTCATCTGCATCCAAGTTGAAGTTTATCATGTGTTGAGGCAGACATTACACATGACCAAAAGGTAATGGCTCTTGCTCGTGATCGACAGTGTCATCATTCACCCTTTGATAAACCAATATCTCATCTTCTTCTTCTTCCTCGTCGACAACATCAATTTCGGCTTATTCTTAGTCATCAGTTTCGCAAAAAAACTTGTGAAGGATCAATGATCTGAAACAACTGATTATGTTGTAGTAAAATATATAACTCAATATCATTTAACCTAGAATGTTCATGACTGAAAAACATATTTTGAACATCTTCATCGTCTTGGATCTTTAGCTGATAAACTTGACTTGGTTGTCGGAAAAAAAATTAGGTTTTTGTAGATGATTTGTGCGACTGGACCACATTGCAACTTCTTTTCTATTCTCTCTTTCAAATGTGAAAAATTTGATCGTATATTTACTGTACACCGAGTAACTTTGGTATTACGAAAATTAAAACTGTATAAGTTACAATCAAATGTCGCACCTTTGATGTGAGCGTTGATCATGTATTGTGGTGATGAAGCCATTTTTGTGAATTGCAAGGTATTTTAGTGTACTGGTTGTGATAGTAAAGTGTGAATTGGTTCTTAAACGAAGGATCATGTAGTTAAATAGGGTTAAGATAGGATTACAAAAAGTAACTCATGTGCTATATGGTATGACACATGCACTATTTTCTTCACATATGCACCATATGCATTAGCTTGTCGTGTGTTTGCATGCTTGCTACCCTGAGTCTAGCTCTGTAGCCTGCCTCCCCTGCCACGTAGCTTTGCATGCATGAGCATAGGAGTCACCACTTTGACTGGCACTTGCTCAAAAAAAGTAACCCATGCGCCATTGGATATGGCGCATTAGCTGGAGGGTAGGGGTGGCAAAATGGATGGATTGGGTGGATATGGATTGGATTGTTAATGGATGGATCAAAACAATTCATTAATCTATTAACAATCCACTAAACTCTCTTAATAAAAATCCAATCCAATCCATCCATTAAAAGATAAAATCCATCCAATCCATCCATTAACATATTTCTAATGGATGGATATTCATCCATCCAAAAAATTAATTTAAAAATTCTTAATTATTTTTTAAATTTCATAGAAACATAATTTAAATATTTTGAATTATTTTTTAAATTTCGTAAAAAAACTTAAATTTCACAAAAAAAATAGTTTATTTAATTAATTTAATAAGTGATAACATAATATCCAATGGATTTATAAAATGAGATGGATGGATTGAATCCATCCATATGAGTTAGTGGATGAATTGGATCAAATCCATTAAATTATTTTTTGTCTTATGGATGGATTGGATGGATTGGATGAATATAATCTAAATGGATTTCATTTCCACCTCTACTGGAGGGTACATGCAAAATTGATTCACGTGAATGTTATGTCCCATCTATAAATATGGCTATGTTACTCATCATTTCCATCAAACACACTCAACCTATACACTTTATCAGCAACAAACACTCAGAAGCATTCCAAAAATGGCTCTACTAACCATGGGTGATACAAATCGAGGAATTATCAATAACATTGTGGATTTTGTAAGTTACTATTTTGAATGTTCTATAAAACTTTCCGCTAATATTTTTCCTTATTTATTTTCCTTAATTATCTTTTGTTAGGATCCAAAGAGACTTCTTTGTTGCGTACATGAATAAATACCACATGACCCATTTATAGAACCAAATTTACGAGCAGGTGGTTTTGGTCATTTACTTAATATAGTTACAGAATTTGTTGATTATAAATTTATCCTTGCTTTGGTAAAAATATGGAGACCTGGAACACACAAATTTTACCTTTTGTTCGGTGAGTGTACCATCACACTAAAGGACATGTACATGTTGTTGAGTCTACCTATCAAAGGTAAGGTTGTTTATGGTATAGTTAACGAAGATAACGCAATATGCGAAGAATTTTTAGGTGCCCCTTTATGTGAAGACATAACTACGGGTCAAGCTATAGGTCAAGGTATAAATCTAAAGTATCTTAAACAACATTATTCAAGTATA